CTGGAGCTGCTGTTCACATCAGGAGGCTGAAGGAAGGCATGCACCAACCTCCACAGCCAGGCTTCGTTGTGCCATATCTGGTACCTGCACAGAGAGAGAGAGAGAGAGAGGGAGAGAGAGAGAGAAGCCTAGCTTGACTTAACTGTCGGTGCTGGTGGTCCTGGAGCTGCTGTTCACATCAGGAGGCTGAAGGAAGGCATGCACCAACCTCCACAGCCAGGCTTCGTTGTGCCATATCTGGTACCTGCGAAGAGACTTCGTCAGTGTAGTCAGGGGAGGTCGCACGCTTAGGTGGCGAGCGGTGTTGGGAAAAGATCCTGGACGTGAGTGGGGAAGTGAAGACGCAGAGCCGTTTCAATTGTATTATCAATAACTGATGCAAGTTCATCAAACTATCCGCCTTCTCTCTCCTGCTTCTCTACCTTTGCCTCACTTCTGATTACTCGCTGCTTATTCTGGGACTTCATTTCAGTGCTTCTTGACTTATTCTGCATTGCGATTGGCTCCATTTCCAAGTGCATTGTGACTGCTTACTTGTTCGTGTTCTTGAAGCTTCTGGCGGGCTTATTACGAAACATATATATGAACTGTTATAAAGAAATGAGAAGAAGAGTGTTCGTGAAGAGTATCGCTGGAGGGGCAGATGAGGGAGAGAGAGAGAGAGAGAGGAGGAGAGAAACGAGGGAGACAGACGTGAATGAGGACAGAGGAGCAGAAACAACTTCCGTTGTGGCTTGGGCAATGTCATTATGTGTGCGAAACTGTTATTCCTTGTGGCAAGTTGTGTGTGTGTGACACTCGTGATCGCCATTTTGTGCGCTACACCATCCAAATGGTGCTGGCATTTGTGTGACACCCCATCTCCTGAAATTGTCTACATGCCGACACTGTGCCATATTGTGAAGTGACACTGGAATTTTGCGTGACACCACATGTACTGACATTGTCCTGGTGCTGACACTGCCATATATTGTGACACCTTATCAGATCCCAACGAGTGTGCTTTCTGTGTTGCTTTTTCCCTCTGGACAATGATGCCACACTACATGGTAACTACCAGATCATGAAGAAGGAAAAAACACGTTCTCATGGGCTTCGCGCAACAACAGAACGCTTGTCACAATCATTGGACGGGATGTCATACAGAATGACAGTGCCATTGCTTCAATGCTTTGTTCATTTTTTGTACTTCTTTTTTGGTTCACTTTTTCCAAATGCCTTTGCTTTGGATTAAAGAACCAGTACACGGCCTCAGCCTTGCAGCAAAATTACTGGTCGCCACAAGAAGTAAAAGGCGGGCTCGGGGCAGGGTCGGAGCGTCAGAAGGTTTTTGATTTTTTGGGCCCATGTCAAATCCGCACGTCCCAAAAAACAAAACAAGCTTCGGCCGTAATTGCAGTTGGATACACTTTTTGGAGTACTCCGTGTGCTTTTTTCCGAGTATATTAGATTGCTTTGGCTTTGAGAGATCGATCATCAAAAGCTCCGTAAAAAAAAAAGAGAATTCATAATGGCTTTTAGTCCACTAGAACAATTTTCTATTATTCCATTGATTCCTTTTCATATAGGAAACTTGTATCTTTCTTTTACTTATTCATCTTTGTTTATGCTACTCACTATTAGTTTAGTTTTGCTTTTATTTCATTTTGTCACCATGAATGGAGGTCATTTAGTACCCAATGCTTGGCAATCTTTTGTTGAAATGATTTATGAATTCGTTCTAAACTTAGTCAATGAACAAATAAGTGGTGTACCAGCAGTTAAACAACGATTTTTTCCTTTCATCTTTGTCGAGCCCGGAATCCAATAAAGAATAGCCATATTCATGATGGGCAACCAACCACCCAAAAATAAAAGAGTACATAAACTACTCATTAATATCATATTAGCATACTCCCCTAAAAAAAAAAAGAGCAAAACCCATGGAAGAATATTCTACGTTATAGCCTGCAACTAACTCAGCTTCCGCTTCTGGTAAATCAAAAGGAGCACGATTCGTTTCCGCTAAACAAGAAATAAAAAACAGAATCAATAAAGGAAAAAGGGGAATACCAAACCATATCTGTTTTTGTGCTATGACGATTTCCGTACCTTTTATTAACACTTCATATGTATGAAGTTCAACTTTTAGACCCATTCATCAAAAACTTTTTTGGTTACTTGTGGCAGATTGTTTACTTTTAGGCTGGATTGGATGTCAACCTGTGGAAGCACCCTATGTAACTATTGGACAAATTGCATCAGTTTTTTTTTTCTTATACTTTGCAATTACGACCTTTCTTGGTAAACTAGAAGCGAAACTTATCAAAAATCATTGTGCATAGCTTTCATTTTGAATTGAATGTCATGCATGATATGTACCAATTACCCACCCGTTCGGGTGGGGTTTCAATCTTTCTTGTTTTATAGTACGTGTGATAAATTGAGAAGCGGCTTTGGTTTAGTATTCAAAATTACAAGAAAGAGTACATGATAGCTTTTTTAGTTTTGGAAGCTTTCATGATTGCTGTGTTTTGCATGCTAGATCTTCTACTTTTTATGTGTTCTTTGAAAGTGTTTTAATCCCTATGTTTATTATTATAGGAGTATGGGGTTCTAGACAGAGAAAAATACGAGCAGCATATCAGTTTTTCTTATATACTTTACTTGGATCCGTTTTCATGCTTTTAGCTATTTTATTGATTTTGTTTCAAACGGGAACCACGGATTTACAAATCTTATTAACAACAGAATTTAGCGAACGACGTCAAATATTGCTATGGATTGCTTTTTTTGCATCTTTTGCAGTGAAAGTACCTATGGTACCAGTTCATATTTGGTTACCTGAAGCTCATGTGGAAGCACCCACCGCTGGATCTGTTATCTTAGCGGGAATTCTCTTAAAATTGGGCACACGGGGAGCACGAAAAAAAAAAAAAAAAAAAAAAAAAAAAAAAAAAAAAGACAAGCTTTAGCAGTGAAAGTGGTTGGATTCATTTCAACGGCTAGTGTGAGGGCGTTTTTAGCACGAGGTGCGCTGCTTGCTGGCAGCGAAAGCAGGAAAAGAACAAAAGGAGAAAAAAGAAAAAACAACAACGTTTCCCTCTCCCCGTAAAGTGGTCAGATGCATTCTGGAAACTGATCACTCGAGTATGGCCTCCACGACATCATTGATCTCTGGCTTGTTTGTTCCTTTCTTTTGCTTTTTTTTCCCCCCCTTCAGGTAGACTGTCGGCACCGGTGCCACTTCCGAAATTCCCACTGCAGGTACCCTCACGCAGAAGGCTCGGAAAATAGCGGCGCGCAGTGGGTAGGTAGGTTCGGGATTTTAGGTGCGGGTGGACTGGTGGTTTAATGCAGAAGTTACAGAATAAGGGGATCTTTATCCTGACAAGTTTTCAGAATTAGCTGGGTACGACCGTGGCGTACTTCAGCTCGTCTCCCGCTGCCCAAAAGCAGTCGTGATTAATCTCAGGAATCTTCCTCTCCGTGTTGTGTAATTTCTCTATGCTGGCCGGCAAGTAGTAACCGGACTGGTACCCCCTCAGAATTTAAAGGGGATTGTGTTTTGTATGAAAAAATAAAAAAATGATAGTGCCATTGTCAGATGTGGTGCCTTGCAAAATGTCAATGTCACACGAAATGGCAATCGTCAGACAGTGTTAGTGATACTATCGCACGCATAATGAATGGCGACTTCACACAATGAATGACAGTGTCACACTCAATGACAGTGTCGCACTCAATGAATGGGATTGTCACAACGTCGTGAAGAAGAAAAAACAGATTCTGGGGGCCTGCAAAGCGAACAATTCTTAAAAAAAAAAAAAAAAAAAAAAAAAAAAAAAAAAGATCGCTGAATAGTTGATGACGTCATTCAATGGTGCTCGAGTGTCCTTTTCTCGGTTACTTCTCCCCTTTTGTCCATGCTGCACCCTAACTGCGGGTGGCCCACTTGTGCATGTAAATCATTTCAGCTCGGTAATCTTAATAATCCAGATTCCATATTAATAACGATTATGACAGTTAGTTCATAGCATACTTGCAAGCGGACGCCGTCTGGGCGGTTCCGCACGTGCGGCGGACAGCCGGACCGGACCCGCGCGGCGCACGAATGTCAGAACATTGTCTGACAGGAGGAACGAAAAGAATAGAAAGAAAACCATGTCAGAACATAGCATAAAAAGTATTAAAAACTTAAAAAGTTGTTAAAAACAAACTTGTCAACACCCTCGGCAATTCCTTTGTCTGCACTTCGGCGGGTGTGGTCTCTGCAGGTTCAGTGTATGAGGAGTCTCTTCAGGGAGGAATTCTGGCGGATGGTCTGAGCAGTTTCTTCTCAGCACTTGCCACAACCTTACCAGTCACCACATTTGCTCAGGTTTGTATACCATGTCATGTCCATCACCGTGAATTTTATTACGAGTTCTGTCATTTTCCATGTCAGAAAGATTCGCCCTGTAACTCGTTTGTATTTCTGGGATTGACGTTCATTGAACCCTATTCATGAGGCTATTAATATGACAGGAAGAGTAAGAGTATGAAGGCTGTAACTGGTATAGCCGTGATTCAGTCAGAGAACTCTGATGCATAAAAGAAAAGAAAAGGAAAAAAGAAAAAAAAAGGAATTGTGCCAGACGGTTTGAGCACTTTCTTCCCAGCAGTACCCACCACCTTGCCAGTCACTACGTTTACCCAGGTTTGAACCTTATGTCCGCCGATATGCATTTCTATTCTGAGTTCTATATCAGCAGGATGTGCACTCTATGGAGTCTAACCATCTGCCAGATGGTTGCACCAGCCACAGCTTTGCTGGTCATCACATTGGCCAAGGTTTTGGCCCTTTGCCCTCCACGTTGTCCACAATGTATTTTCCCGCACTGTAGAAATCCCATCATCCATAAATATCATAACCTGGCTGCGCCAATTGACGACCTAGGTCCACGGACAGCGCCAAAGGACGACCTAGGTTCACGCAACTTCACGGCCAGTCACCGAACTCAAGACCAACCACTCATCTAGGCTGTCCTTGCACACGGACACTGCCAGCCAAATTCTGGAAACCGGTCCACCGGGAAGGCCTACCAGCCCTTGCAGGACAGCCCAGATCCACGGCGGGTCACCAAAACATTGAGACTGGCCACACATCTAGCTCGTCCTGTTGCATGGCTGGCTGCGCCAGATGCACAGCTGGTCTTGACCCTTTTATTTTCCTTTTTTCAGTTTTCTTATTTTTTGTGGCCGGTCTTAAGACTCTTAACCTTTTCGTAATTGACCGGAGATCTGGGTCACCCTCCAGCACGCGGCCCATATGGTGTGGCAAATTTTAGAAACTCGCACCTTCTCCACCTCACCCCCACCTTCCGCCGCGTACCATCGCCTTCCCCACCTGTTCCCAACCTTTCGCCACCACCAGCCGCCTTCCCCACCTTACGCCATCGCTTGCCACCTTTCCCACCATTCCCGCAACTGATGCCGCCACCAGCCACGGCCCTCCGTCCACCATCTGCCACTTCCCCCTAGACTTGCCATCTGCGAGAGAAAGAGAGTGAAAAAGTGGAGGAGTGGGGTACCTGCCTTCCCCCACCTACTGCGGCCTCAGCCAATCTCCCCCCACTTCTTAAGTTCTTAATAGCCTGCACAGCTTTCGGGTGAGAGAAAGAGAAAGAGCATTGCGAGGAGGGAAGGTTTAGCCTCCCCCCACCTTCCAGGGCCTCCCCTGATCTCCCCTGACCACCCAGCCTTCCCTCTACTTTCCCCTACGCTTCCCAGCCTTCCCAGCTTTCAGGCAAGAGAGAGAGGTGTAGAGAGAGAGAGACAAACAGAGGGAACAGTTCATCATCGCGACGAGTTAGCCATTGCTTGACCCTAGCCTCCCCAACTTCCAAGTGGGAGACAGAGAGAGAGAAAGTGAGTGACAGAGAGAGGGAGTGCACGTGCATACAAGAGTGAAAGGGAGAACATGGGAAGGGCGATCAGGGTAGCCGCCACCTCCCCCCTCCTCCCAGTGCTCCCCCGCTTCCCTCTAGCCTCCCCAGGCTTTCCATCTTTTGGGTGAGAGAGAGAGAATTCTATGTCTGTGTGTGTGAGAGAGAGAACATAGGAGCAGGAGCAAGCCAGCTGCCACCTCCTCCCTCCTCCCACGGCCTCACCTCCTCCCCCCACCTCCCAGTCATCCCCACACATCCCCCTAGCCTCCCCAGCCTTCCTAACTTTAGGGTGTGTGTGTATCTTTGTGTATACCCTAACCCATAGGATGATGCGCTAAGAAAACTCCACAGTAAGCTGCAATATGACCATTCTCAAATAGCATTTAATCCATAGCATTGATTCCCAAATATCACCACACATACGGAGATATAAAGAATAGAAACAGACAGCACTTGAACACACGCACACGGCGCAGACAAAAAAAACAAGAGTGATGGTGGACTGTTTCGTCGGACTTGCATCGGCTTATCAGGAGGCTGAACCCTCATAACTCTGCAGGATCCCCTCACAATACTTTGATTCATAACTGAGCTTCAAACCCCGTTGCTGATGAGCAAACACAGGAAAGCATGTAGTTCAATATAGACAAGGCAACATATAGCAAAGTAAAGAACGCAGGCAGCAAGACAAGCGGGCAGGAGGGCAGGGACACAGGAAGGCAAGGGACAGCAAGCAGCAGGGCAGTGAGGCACGGCGAGGTGTTGACAGCAGCAGGATGTGCCCTGTAACCCGTTGGTATGCCCAGGTTTCAACCCTATGTGATCATGCATATGCACATCAACTGCACATCACGGACTCCATCTTCTGTAGCTTACATCTTGGTGATCATGCATATGCACATCAACTGCACATCACAGACTCCATCTTCTGTAGCTTACATCTTGCTGACCAGGGTTAAAGGCGGGTAGGTATAGGAGTAGTGAAGATGGTTTGTGAAGCAGCATTGTTCATCAGACTCCTATTATGCCGACAGGGTATAGCAGGTCATTCATACACTTAAACCAGCACTATTCTTGCCAGCTAGGTGACGTAAGCATCCTACACCCTCAGATGAGCTCAATGCCATGGAAAGGCTTGGCCTACTGGACCAAGGAGGCTGTAGGTGCTGGTAGGCCCTTGCCCGTGGCAGTTTGGAATTTTATGTACAGGCAAAAAGAGGCTGGGGAATAATGGTGGTTGCCGAGTCCACGGAAGGGGAATATCATCTACAAGGAATGTACAGTCCAGTTGCTGTTCTGCAGAGTCGATCCGGCAGATTTAAAATGCATATGTGACCAAGGATGCAGGTCACATGCCTATCATACAGTTTCAACAGGATAATTGCTATCACCATCTTTTGCATATGATGCATATGTGAGCATA